TACTTATGCTAATTGGGTTCGAGACATTGCTGAGAAATCCGGTTTTGGGCCTACTGAAAATGTTCTTGTGGGTTCTGCATTGATAGATATGTACTCCAAGTGTGGAAGCTTGGATAATGCATTCAAGGTTTTTGAGGGAGTGAAGGAAAGAAACATATTTTCTTATAGCTCAATGATTTTGGGGTTTGCAATGCACTGTCTTGCAAGTGCAGCGATAGAATTATTTCATGAGATGTCGACGACTGAGATAAGACCTAACAAGATTACTTTTATAGGAGTGCTGACAGCTTGCAACCATGCCGGTATTGCTGATCAAGGTCGGTAGATATTTGCAACCATGGAGAAGTACTATGATGTTGTTCCAACAGCTGATCATTACACTTGATGATTTATAACCAGTTTAATGTTTTTATTCAAATTTGTATTCCTCTATTTAATACAAATTCTAGAGAATATCCAAACAATGAGATTTGGAATTCCCGTCATTTTGTAATTTCTATGTATCCAACATCCAAACGATGAAATTTCAATTAACGGGAATTTAATTACTGTCAATTGTAATTCCTGTCATTTAAAATTCTGTGATAATTTAGAAATTCTCCATCCAAACATAGGGTTAGTGAATTTTACACAAATGTCGCCAGTTGAATCTTATCACTTGTGTATTTACCAACTTGGACCACAAAAATGACAATTAACCACCTAGCTAGGCTTGAAACATTTAAACAATATGCTACATTCTTCATCGACAAATTTCCAATCTTGCAGAATCTAAACTTATAGAGAGCTGCCGTTCACGATCCAACAAAGTAATGTTGACTTTTTATTATGAAACAGAAACTAATTAGTATTATAGAGTTTTGGAACTTTCAAAAAATTGCAATTTTGCATGCATGCATGCATGGGGATTATGCCCAAGTTATCCAATTGGAAAAATAAAATGTAAAATGTTATATGGCCAATTCATCTTCCTTAAATCAATTGAATATCAGAGAGTGCGGAACAAACAAGATTACAAAATAATAAAAATATTATTAAAAGACAGGAATGCCGGAATGCCTACAAAACCCTAAGGGGGCGTTTGTTTGCCCTTACTAAAGTGTACTGGACTGGACTGGACTAAGGATTAGTCCAGTCCCATGTTTGCTCCTAACAGGGACTAGGTTTAATGAGACTAAGTCTCACTCGCCTAGACTAAATCCGAGATTAGCCAGTCTTAACGAAACCCCTTGAAAACCATGGGACTAGCTAAGACTGTCCCTTCTCGCCCCCTCTCATCTCCTCGCCTTGCTCCTCGACCACTCACCCTCGAAAACCATGGGATGCTTTTCACAACCAATTTTCATATAAAATACCAAATTGAAGATGGGAGTGAAGGGATTATGATTCTACCTGAATCGAGGCCAAAAGGTGATCGGAGGTGGCCAGAAAATGGCCTGGAAGTCTCGGCCGGTTTGGGTTTTTTTCCGAATCCATGACAGATCGAGCATGCAAAGCTCGAATATGGGACCAGAGATGGGGAAGAGTTTGTTAATGGTGCAAACCTCGTCTAATCCGATGAGGTTTAGTTGGAAAACCCATCGGGAAACCTGCAACTCATTGGAAAAAATGAGGTAGGAGGCGAAGTGCAAAGGCAGTGAAAAGGTTGTGAAGAGGCAAAAAGGAAAGGTGAAGTGCAGAGGTAGGAGGCGAAGAAGATGAAGTGAAGAGGAAGAGGATTTGCTATAAAAAAAGGTAGGACAAAAATGGCAGAAAAGGGGAATGGGGGAGAGAGAGGCGGAGAAAAAAATGAATGTAGAGATATGAGAGGGTTGTAGAAAAATAGGGAAAAGATAAAGTAATAATAAAATATTAATTGATATATTAAATTAAAAATAAAATATTAATAAATATAGATTAAATAATATAATATTATAGTTTGACACTGCATCAAACGCTTCACTAAGTCAGTCCAGCTTAGTCTAGTCTAAGCCAGTCCGGCTTAGTCCCTGAAGCTAGTCCAGTTCGAGACAGTCTGATGCAACAAACACCCCCTAAGAGACTACATTGTGGCTACATTGTGACTAACATATTTTTTTCAAACTAAATTACAAGCAATATTTATGGAGAACTAAACTTAAGAAACCTTAACTCGGATGGGCTAGGCCCAAATTCTAAACTAACAAGCAAAATCCAAATATTAAAATAAACCTAAATACTAATATTTTCCAACACCTCCCGTCAAACTCATGACGGTACACGACATGGGTTTGCCAAAGTAGATGTCGATGCAAAACTCCAAATTCCAATGCCAATGCCAATGCCAATGCCGATGCCGATGTCAATGCCAATATCAATGCCGTTGCCAAAAAATCTAGTTCACCATCTACCCAACGTCACTCTAGTGGTCACCAATTCAAACACTCGAGTGATCGTTGTAGAAGGCAATAAGAAGCTACAGAAACAAGCCCAAATAGCAGCATCACGTGGGCCCTAAACCTCAAAACACAGCAGCCATATATTTTTTTTTTCCTTCCTTCTTTTTCCTTTTTTCTTCCTTCTTTTTCCTTTCCGTGGTTCTTTTTTTTTTTTTTACCTTCTTTACTCCTTCGTCCCCTTTTTTTCATTTGCTGGGGGATCTTCTCCTCTGCAAGCAAAACTTTTTTTTTCTCCTTCATTTTTCTTTTCCTTGCAAACAATCAATACCAACTAACAAATCTAAAACAAACGACAACAAAGGCAAACAAATTGATACTAACGAGAACGGATTGAACGCTAAGGATTGAACCCGTTCTGATACCAAGCTGAATATCAGAGTGCGGAACAAACAAGATTACAAAATAATAAGAATATTATTAAAAGACAAGAATGGCAGAACGGCTACAAAACCCTAAGAGGCTACACTGTGACTAACATATTTTTCAAAACTAAATTACAAGCAATATTTATAGAGAATTAAACTTAAGAAACCCTAACTCCGATGGGTTAGACCAAAATCCTAAACTAACAAGTAAAACCCAAATACTAAAATAAACCTAAATACTAATATTTTCCAACAAAATCTACCGGCCGGACCCGAACAAAATAGTTAATGGTCAGCCAGGCTAGCCCTGCTAAGTACCAACGATAAAATGCCTTCTGGATTGAGCTTTAATTACTTCACTAATTTGCATACTCGACGACACGAGTGGTCCAGTCCAGGACTCTCCAACTCCACCATAATATATATCTGTGTGTATGCGCATGTGTTCGTGGTTAACTGAATTCTTACAAATTAATTTTACTTTAACTAATTAACAACAGTGTAAGTTAATCAAAGAACTTTCCTAGCTTTGCTCTTTGACTCGTAAAAGTAAATATCCTTCACTTGCTCTCTTTATTATCCCTTCCCTCTAGAAGACTAGGATTAAGTATTGCCGTTAACGTGGTGCTTAATGAGACATCTATTGTTGGCCTCAAAGTCAACATATTCATTTGCGTGCTTCGTACCTTTATATTTAATAATTTTATATTATGTAAGTATGGGATAACAAAGCTGGGATTGGTTAAGAATTAAGTGCACATAATTGAGGAAAGATTATTCCACAAAAGATCAGACTGTAACATTGATTATTAAAAGAAAACTTGGATTTAGGTTGGCGGCTTCAACTGGCTGGATTAATAGCAGTCCAGGTTGGACATCAGCTTTTCTTAACCTAATAAAGGGATATAGAGATACGTGCAAGTTATATAACTATATATGAAGGAGGGATACTATTTATTTCAACATAGATGAGAAACAATCTAATTGTAAACTAATGTAATATATTTATCGACTTGAAATAATGAAAGTTTCATAATCTACTACGTTAAGTTAAAATGATATTGATTTTAGCCTTTAATATTGTATCGACTAGTTATTGATATAGTGATATTTCTTTTACCAAAATGCTAAAAGATCCCCAACTACCTATTGGGTGTTAGGGACTAGTGGTGGTGGCGGTGATTATGGTGATGGCAATTGTAGTAGGCACTTCGTTGCCCATCAGTAATCGCAAATTGAGTTCTTTCTCCTTAAACGTGGTATCTAAAGAAAATGACAACTCTTCACGATACGCACTTTGACGGCCTGATGACATAGTAAGCAAAAAGATAAGTATTTAAAATGATTAACAAGCATGAATAGGGCAAGTAACTAGTATTAAAAATAATGTAAGATACGAGCACGCTAGAAAACAATTGTTTCATCTACTAGTGTGGTATGACAAGTGATACACAACCTTGACCCTTAGGTCCTTTTTCCTTGTAGTTGCGCATACTATGAGAAATGAAAATGATAACAATAATATTTTGGTACGTTTATAACATGCTGAAAAGGACTGGCAACAAACTATAACTTACTATGTCTTTGACAATTTTACATTCATCAATTATCCCTTTAATTTCGCATTCGGCATTCCTCTTTTCTTTTCATACCGTGCTGGGAGAGAGAGAGAGAGAAATGACATGACGACATGTAAATTTCTCTCCTTGGCAGTTGTGGTGGATCATCCTTCACTTCGGCTTCTAAAGTTTTTTGTTTTTTTCCCTTTTCCAGCCACTCTTGGACCTCTTTATTTTGACCACATTGGAGGGTTTTCTTGTGGGGTGAAGCCCATTTACGTCTCTGTCTGTGAACATTTTATGAGAAACGAATGAACAATTAAATTTTAACATTTCTTTTTCAACGATGTTATCCACACACCTATTTTTACTTCTTACACAACTCTTATTAATTTATTTCCTTCGATCATTTTCAATTCACTCAATCTGACAGCCAAAGTTTGAAAAGATTATGTGAATAACACCACCCTTCCTATTTTGTTTTGATGCCAAGCATAAAACAAAAAACCAACACTACAATATCAATTCATTGGAAGGTTTTAAACTTTCAAATGTTGATGTGCAGTATGTGGAGGCCACCCAAACTTTGCTATAAATTTAAGTTTCGGTGGTAAATTGTGAAAAAAATAATTAGCTCAGGTGGTATTTGCACACATGCCTAAAGTCCACGTGGTATATGTGCAACTTTCTCAATTAATTATTATCCATCAGGAACAAAGCTGCCCTAAATATAAAAGGCAGGACAACAAGTCTAGCACTTCAAAACCACGTCCATGCATCACTAAAATTATGAACATCTTGAGGTTAAACTAAACACAATATACAGGGTTTGATTACAAACAATCACATGACCGATGGACAATAGGAATTAAGAGGTACAGCAGCACAAGTAATTTCTACATCGTTGCTCAACGTACTAACTGGACTCTGCCCATAACAGGTTAACGGCTTTGCAACGTCATTCTCCTCGACCCCGACGTTATTATTTGTTAACTGCGGAATTTGCTTAGCCCTAAATACTCCCCACAAATAAAACTTTGCCTGAAATCCTGCAACCCGGTAAATGCAATCATGTTATTCGCTTTTCCAGACGAGCTGTACAGATTTTTCTTTCTTTACTAATGGAAGGAAAGGAAGTAGAAAAGCTACAAACTAGTAGAGATTTCGGGACTCACTCCGATACTGCTCTGGCAGTATGATTGACGTGAAAACTAAGAGCTCAGCATCGTCCAGCACAGCTCTCATAGCTAGATCATCCTGGATCATGCTAGCCACCATGGTGTCAAAATCCTTCTCATCTCTGTACCCAAAAAAAAAGAAGAGAAAAGAAGAGGAACGTCAGCTTTTAAGTAATCCAATCAATACAGGGAAAGTAGATGGAAACAAGAAACAAGAGTCAAATTTATCACCTTTCGTTATCAGAAAAGAAATAAAGAGCAATACTCTGATCGTTAGGTCCGCACTTCTCGAAAGCTTTGGGCCACACATCTGTTCTATTAACCAATTCTGGAAAAAGCAGTAACGGTAGCAATTCTGCCTCCTCACGTACTTTTGGACAGGCTAAGCTAGAGAGATGGGCTACAAGTCCACTAACAATGTTGAAGTCTTTGTTGAATATGCTGAGGCTACCCCTGTCATTTAGACAAACCATCTCACAGTTATACCCTGCACTAGATGTGCTTGTACACATTCACCATAAACTCAATCGAGTCGGAAAGCTAGAAAGTCTTACCTCCAGACTGGATCAATAATAGGCTGTGCAGCAACATAACAAATTATTTCTGAGGTATTTAAAGGGTCGGAAGTAGTAACTAGAGAAGTTTTTACAGATTTGGCAACGTCATCAGAGGAATTCAATTGATCCTCACGAACCTCGTCACACTGACTACCAAGGTTCTGACCATTATCACAATCATTACTACCCTCGGCCTCATGTTCAGAGGGACTACCTTCATGTATCTCCACCTTCGTGTTAGCCCCTTCACATATCTGCACCTTCATCTTCGCCCCTGCACATTTCTGCACCTTCTTTTTAGCCCCGTATATAGGTAAAGTCTTTCTTTTACTCTTCTTCCTCCTCTTCTTGAACTTCTTGTTATGACAAATTTCCATTGATCTTACTGATTTATCAATTCTACAAAGCTTTACAATCTTTGGATCACAATCCTCACAAAGCCAAGTCAGATCTTCATCAAAAATATTTTCTGCTGGTACATTAAGGCAATAACTGGAAAACAGAAATAAAAGAGGAGAGTCGTCATTTGAACAATGTCGAATCAATTGAAAAAATATTGAGAATTTGAAGTTGGCCACTTTGTGTGTTCTTATAACCGTACATATGATTTCAAGAACTAATCCAACTTCAACTTCAGCAACAACTCTAAGGACTGACCCAAACTTTAATAACCAGGAACTGAGCATTTCTTTTAGGATAATGTGATGCATAAATAACAGTATTTTCACATCTTTTTCCAGGGACTGAAAATACGAAAGCACAATGGAAACAAGTTATACCGATGAAGAGCATAATTCTGGCACTTGTCACAGAAAAGCAAAGCATCTTCGATACCTCTGTCGCCACACGTTTGACACACAGTCACCTACAACCAGTACATCAGAATCAATGTTAGCATTATTCTGCCCTATTTATAAATAAACAGGAACAAATCAACCCCAATTACGGAAAGAGTCGGAAGTCCCACAGCCCAAAATAAATATATATTTACAGCTTAAAGTATAAATGATGTGGATGTAAATAATAAATCTCACTCATTCAACCCTTAATCATATGAACAATCCAAAGTGACAAAAAGACACATGTACCATTCGCCCTTAATCTTTTGAGTCTGCCAAAAAGGAGTTATTCCACAAACCTTGACATCTAGACAAAGATTACCATTAAAAACATTTACTTTATAGCCCCGATAACAACTGCTACACCAATAACCCATTTTTATGGTATACGAATTGGAATACATTATACGATTCTGAATTCCAGAGACACATAAATGTTAAATATATCACCCCCGGCAATTAGAAATATCAAACCTGATAAAAGCAGTCAACCAAATGAGTTAGCATAAGAAAGTGAAATAATAAAATTTAGTTTCTTGAGGTATCAATCAAGATATATTTCAGATTGTGTGCAGAAACTAATGAGAGCTGCCTAATTAATGACACGCACATACACACAAACGAAAACAAACAAAAACCTCACCCAAACACATACAAAAGAAAAGTGTATATGAAATCATAAGTCTTCAAAGTAAGAGTTGAGTTGAAATGATATTAAGCAATCAAACATCAAAGAAAATGAGCATTAAAATGAATCATGGTTTTGTTTTATTCTTTATCCCCCCCCCCTCTGATGCCAAAAAAGGGTGAGTCTCAAACACCTGTAGATATAATTCAAGTTATGCAGTTGTTTGGGCCCAAAATAATAGTTTGGGCCGAGTGTAGAGCCATTCTCGGCCCGGAAGGCCTTGCGACAAGAAGACCATGGATCGTTCAGCTTATGGGCTTCCAAACCTAGGCCAGTTAGGTCAAAATGCAATGACAAGCCGAGTCCTGATACAATAGGGATTCTCGGCAGGATTAACAACCTAGAAGCGGATAGGGCTCGAATAAGGACTAGGTTCACAATCCTAATGAAAACAGGACTGGTCGAGGTGATATTGATCCGGAGAGGGAAAACCTAGTCCGAATGGGATTCTATCTCAGATTCGGGGTCCAGTGCTATAAATAGCGGAAGCTGTGCATCAGGAAAGCCCCACAAAAATCAATACAAAATTGCCCTGCGCAAACTCTCACAACTTGAGATCTTTTTCTTTTCCTTTTTCGCTGACACATCTTCCGTTGGCATCAACAGCACTGTGGAAGCAACCGGTGATATCTTAAGTCGGCATAGATAGCTCTGTCACCGTAGAGTCGGTCGGTCTCGCAGTATCTTCCGTTGGCATCAACAGCACTGCGGCGAGAACGGTCGATTGCCTATCCAAGTCTCGGTCGAGAAGGGTTTTCGAATCCTTGTTGGTCGAGGTCATCTCATTAGCCTTCTCGGCGAGGTGAGGTGTTACAGTTATTACATTCGGCACATTGTAAGCCGAATTCGGTTCGTGAACTTTGTAAGAAATAGCAGCCTTGTCTTCAGGCTCGAGAACCCAAGAGGCCGAGACGCGTTCCTTTCTCGGCCGCAATCGCAAGACGCAGAAGTCAGTAGCGCGACCCAACGCAGCATCATCAAATTTACTCCTCGGCCGAGCCTCGGCCGACGAGTTGGCACGCCCCGCAATCACCGAAGGACGTAGTTAGCTTAGAATATATTCGGCCTGCGCGCCACGTAGGCTTGGTAGATTTTAGGGTCAACATTTTGGCACGCCCGGTGGGACCCAGTGCTAAAACTACGAAGTTCATGCCAATTGAAACGCGATCGGTAAAAAAGAAAACAGCTATGGGAAAATCAACAGCCGATTTACCGATTCAGAACGTAGGACAAAGTGTGCCACAGGCGCAGAATCCCCTTAGCGCCGGGACACCTGAGTCCACAAGTGCGACTCGCCGAGAAAGGGAAGTTAATCTCGGCGGTCAACACCGCAGTCTAGAAATCCCTAACAGGAACACTTGTGTTCTCAATGAAGGGATAGTGGAGGATTGCGACGAGGATGGCGGTGAAGGATCTGACCCACCAACAAGGTCGTTTCTTCGAAAGCGACTCGACGAGCAGTCTCGGTCAGTTGAGCAGACGTTTAGCCGAGGTATTGACAAGCTACATGACGTGATACTCAATTCCACTGAGCAGCAAACCAGACTGCTCGAAATGCTGGTTAGTAAAATTCAGTGACGGCAGGCCTTTTCGATCCTCTCCAGCGCTTGCCACCAAGAAATAATCCGTTACCAATGGTACAGGCCGAGCCAATTCCTGCTCGGCCCAAACCAATTGACTTGGAAAAGGTCGGAGGGTCAAATAGTAGGTCGGACGGAATCGACCAGAGGGTCGAAGCAACACCTGTTGATATGACCGAGGTTCAGCGGATGATCGACTCGGCCATGAAGAAAGGGCCGAAGTTTCCTAAGTTTATCCATCCGTACCCGGCCTACATAGAAACGTTCGGATATCCGAAAGGTTTCAAGATTCCGGATTTTAGCCTTTTTGCCGGTGAATCGTCCTTGTCTTCGTTGGAGCACGTGGCTCGTTTCACCGCGCAATGCGGCGATGTTCATAGTGATTTCCATAAATTACGGCTGTTCAACTTCTCGTTGACCGGCTCGGCATTTGCTTGGTATATCAATCTCCCTCCTAATTCCATCCAAAATTGGGAGGAGTTGGTCGAGAAATTCCACGAGCAGTTTTATCGACCAGGGTTGGAGGTGTCGGTTTCTTCATTAGCAAGGATGGCTCAGGCATCAGATGAGTCCCCAATGGATTATCTTACCAGGTTCAAATCAGCCAGGAATTGGTGCCGAGTACCCTTGCCCGAAGTCGAGTTCGTCCGGCTTGCTTTGAACGGCCTCGACGTCGAATACAAAAAGAAATTCTTGGGGGCAAATGTTCGGGATATGTATGAATTAGCCCAACATGTCGAACAGTATGATTATTTGCTCCGCGAGGAAAAGATTTCGAAAACTCCGTCTCGGGGGACGATTTACAAGAATCCTACCGTCAGTTATGCGTCAACCGAGGATGAATGCGTTAGTGTGGATGCGGCTGAGATAGTAATAGATAAGCCATACGTTTGCAAGGCCTTGACTCAAGTTGACTCCAGGGAAGTCAAAAGCCGCTCGGCCACTGAAGGAACATTGAAATCGTCAAAAGTGTATACTTTTGATATTACAAAGGCTGACGCAATTTTTGATCAACTGTTGTCAGCAAGGATCATCAAACTTCGGCCTGGTCACAACATTCCCAAGGCCGAAGAGCTCAAAGGAAAGGTGTATTGCAAATACCATAATTCAAGTAAACATACGACAAACAATTGTGTCGTATTTCGAGACAACGTCCAGAGCTGGATTGATAATGGAAAACTGAAATTTCCAGAGAAGAAGATGAGTATTGATGCTGATCCTTTCCCCACAGCAACCGTGAATATGGTCGATGCATACCTACCTAAGGACAAAGGAAAAGGGAAGGCCGAAGTTGTTGCGACGCAAGACTTTCGTACTCAGAATTCTCGGCCACGTTTCATGGCCGATTTTCGTTCGAACAAACCACCTACAGCTTTAACAGGACCTGCTATTGTTAAACCTATGAGGGATTATAGCACCGATGAAGATAGTGGGACGGCGGTTTTTTTGCAGTAAATGTAGAGCGAAGGTCGGCAGTGAGCCAGAGAAGAAACCATCTTCGCCTATCACAGAACGACCTACGGCCGCAATTCAGCAAAAAGCAGCCGGCGTCGGCCGACACCAAGGGGTTTTTGATAGGCTCGGCCCAAAAGTGAAGATGGAAGAGACATCCTCAGTCAGGCGGCGCCTCGATTTTGGCGCTTCATTTTATGACGAGGACTATTATACGCGTAATTCTGGTAGTTCGGAATCGTCGCGGAGTCAAAAAACCTTCAAACCTCCCGAGCCTAAAGATCAACGTTGGTACACGTATCATTCTTCGAAAGGCGTCTACACCGCGTTGTCCAAATCCCAGAAACGCCGGCACCAGAGGATAGATTGCATGGCCCGTCGGCAGGCAGCCCAAGAAACTTCGGCCCCTAAATGGCGGCCGAAGGACACAGTTGCTACTGGTGATGAACGACCATCTCCAGCTATTATGACAGAGTTGGGTCAGGGGAAACGGTTGGTCGACCGAGATATCGAGACCACGTTCGAAGAAGCCGATAAACAGATCAAACTTCTTCTTCGCCCAGGGGAGATGAAGGCACGCCTCGAGCATTTCAGGCAAGAGGCCGAGAGCAAATTAGCCCAGCCAGCTATACAAGAACCGTTGATTAAAATTCGACGGAATTTGCATCCACCATTCCTTGGGGAGGCTTTAGAATATATGCGCGAATTCCATAAGAAACATTCGGCCAACGATCTGTATGGTTTGCCGAAAGCATGCCAGGACACCATTGATCTAGTCCTGACTTGTCCGGACGCCGAGCGCGTCATCCAGAAGACCTCTGACCCGGGATTGAAGGCAAGGTTCCAGCACATACGAGAAGCCCGTGTCCTTGGATTTGAAGTCGACCCATACACTGATATCGTTGCAGCCGACCTTCCTTTCTCAATGGAGGATCTTCAGTATTTACGATATCACTTCGAAGTATTTTCGGCGGTTTCTCTCTTCGGCCTCACGACCGATGAAGTAGCACGTGTTGCACGTCTGGATGCTTATCTCGATACCAGAGATGCCCGGCTATACTACCAAGAGCAGGTGCAGGTCCTGACCCCAAGCACACTGTCGATCTCAACCTCGCCTGCGGCGGTCACACAGAACCAACAAGCTGCCGAAGCAGCACCGCAGGTTCAAACCCTCGAAGAAGGGACAGAGGAGTCTTTTTGTCCAACTCTGACAAAAACAGAGCCCGCAGTCATCGACCAAACGAGGGATGAGGTTAGCAAGGAGGGGTCCCAACCCGATGGGCCCGTCAGTCTTGGATAACATGGA